GCCAGACCCCGCCTTTGCCGGCCGCCCATGCCGCTGGGCTCGGTATCCCCTCCACTCGCAGCCTTGGAGCAGTTCTTGCTCGGGCTGCTCCTCCGTCGTTCTCCTTCTCCTGCTCCTCCTCCCCCTCCTCCTCAGTCGAGTAGGATGCGTGGTTACCGTCTGGGTTCAAGCGCCTGCGCGACTCTCTACTGTGTGGACAGCACCCGCTCTACATCAGGTTTGCGGCCACGCTTTCTCTCGCATCGCCACCAACCCCAGGCATTATTGTTGGTAGCGGAGGTGGGAGCGATCCCAGTTCGCAATCCACGGAAAACGCGCAGAATGCGATGTAGACGGACATTCGCATGCCACTCACGTTCCGCATGGGTACCACCCTCCATTCCCTGAACAGCTTGTTCTTATGGCAGTTCTGCAACCCTCCCGGGAATTCGCCCAACGAATCCACAGACGCGACAAGGCCGACGCCTACGACCGCAAGTGGCCATGTGAGTGCAACGTCCCTTGGAGGACAGATGGCCTGGTGCAGGGGTAAGCCAACCCAAGGAGGCAGCGATGCTTCGGACCCCTCACCACAACAACTTCCCGTCATTGGGCAGTGGGGCGCAGATTCCTTCGCTATACCTCAGAACTGGGCCGTGTGGGCTTGCATATCAGTGAACACGCTGCGCAATCGTAATGCTTTCAAGCCGGCGAACGTAGATGGTTCACCATCAGTGGGCATCATCAAGGGTTCAGTACTGCTGCGGCTGATCCAAGTATCGAGCTGGCTTTCGTCCCCGTGCAGGTCCGAACCCCACAGTGATTGTACAGCAAATGCGACGGCTTTATTTTCATAAGGTATTCCAACTTAACATTGCAGGGCAGTTGTACCATTCTCTCCGTGATCGCCTTGCACTGGCTCGTCTGCATGATGTCTGGAGGAGTTGGACAGCATGGTGCAGGCGGCCGCAGATGAGACAACATGCGTCAGCTACCTGCCTGGTCGCCTGAACGCGAGTCCGTCGACCCGCTTCGCCACTGTGTGCAAGATTCGGCCGCGCGGAGTGCATCCGCTACGGGCCTGAACAGCGCTCGGCAGCGCGCGGCCACCAGCCCGAACCTGGGTGGCGCTGCACCCGCACTCCCGCGCTCCACGAACTTCACGGATACGACCGAAGGCCAGCATTGGCGAACGGCCAGCCCGAAGGTGCCGCCACTGACCCCGTCGCGAACCTCGCGAGCCCGAGCTGCGCGGGAGCTCTTCGAGCTCCCGCCGCGCGGCGCGACGAGGCCACCAATGGGGCTGCTCTCACGAGTGTCCCCAAGCGGCGATCCCGAGGCACGCGCAACGGTGGAGCTGCGATGTGATGAGCCGATCGGAGCAACGATCCTCCTCCTCCTCCTCCTCCTCCTCCTCCTCCTCCTCCTCCCCCTCCCCCATGCCTCTCCTCCTCCTCCTTCTCCTCCTCCTCCTCCTCCTCCTCCTCCTCCTTCTCCTCCTCCTCCTCCTCCTCCCACTCCGATCGGCCGGCGTCACGGCCAGCCAATTCACGGCGCTGCCCTAGCCTTGCGGCAATCGATACCCCGCAACAGAACTCGAGTTCAAGAACCCCTCGACACTGAGCGGGCGCGTGGGCCATCTCTTGGAGCACGCACCCAACAGCATCGCCAGCGCCTTCCGCGCGCCACCTGTATTCGGAAGCTTCGCAGGCATGACCAACGACAACAGCAACCAACACAGCGCGAGCGCAGCAGCCCCTTGGCACTCACAAGGGCCTTGACCACTGGGCTGCCAGCGCCGCCGAACTCCCGGGCGCCAGAGGTGCATTCGCAAGCGGTGGCAGGTCTCCGCCGAGCACCGCGCTGGACCGGGGCGGGGATCCTGCCGCCGCACGGCCGCGCGCTGATGAAGCGCAGGACTACCACGAATGTGTGAGCGGCACCAGTTCCGACACCAGTTCAGACCTTGGATGCGCTATCGATCGACTACGCATCGGACCAGCTCGGAGGCCTATCAGCTCAGATCGATGCCCAGGGAGCCCAGAAAAGAAGCTCACAGACCCAGCCGATCGACGGCCAGATCGACGCCGTCGGCGGCGGAGGCAACGGCAAAGGCAGGTAAGGCACCGGCCAAGGGAAGACGGTCCAGCGGCAAAGGCGAGGGCCGCAAGGGGACACCCCGGGGTTACGTTGGGGCGGCGATGACGCGCAGCATGTACCGTTCGGAGTACCACTACGGAGCAGCATGCCCACGGGCCGGCTCTGGAAGTTCAGGCTCCCAAAGAGGCGGCCCGAGCTTCGGAGGCCATGCCGACACGGGGCCCATCGGCGACACCCTGCACGTTAGACCTCTCCGTCATACCAGGCGTCGCCATCGTTGCCGCAGAATCTCTTCCACCGCCGCAGCCAGGACCCAGCCTATCTCCAGCGCAGCCCTCTTCAGAGGGCCCTGGCAGATGCCCGAGTCAACCCAGGGAATTTGGTCGGCAGCGTCATTTGCCGCCGTCCACGGCCACGCGTG